ATTTCTTAGGCCATAGGTGTTATCTTCCTAGCAATACTTTATGCAGCATTCCTTAGTTCATTAATATGAGCTGTCATTTCAAAAAAGTAAACTGAAGCCATTTGAAACAGAACATGAAGCCACAAAGTAGTATTTGAGAAAGAACATTAAACATTTAAAGTAAAAATGTATACATTTCCAATGTAGAATGAAGCACTAAATCAACTAAAGCTTGCTTCTGACAGACCAGTGATGAATTATGGGATTTTCACTAATCCTCAGATAAACAAACTGAACACTGTTGCTGAAGAAGAACTTGCCTGCTTCAGTTATACAACAGCACAAATTTTGTTCCTTTCTCAAGAAGTGCGATATTGTCTCAATTATTAGGCAAGCTAAAGCATTCAAGTTTCCTAACTGTCCTTTATATGTAGTATTTAAAAAATGCAGTAAAAGGAATGAATGCCTAAAGGATTAGTTAGGCTTTAGGGGCACAACCTTCGTGGCTGACTGAAATATGTTGATAAAGACAGAACATTTGTGGTATAGTTTCATAATCCAGAGTCCAAATCCAAAGGAATAAATAAAATTATGTTTTAATTGAATAAGTGTGTTCCAACATAGAATAATTAATTCAAAACTTTCTTTCTTTCTTTCCCTTCCTTTCCTTCCTTCCTTCCTTTTCTTTCTTCCCTTCCTTCTTTCTCTCTTTCTCTCTCTCCCTCCCTCTCTTCCTTCTTGAATGTTAGCACTTATCTTTCTGCTTGCCTTAGAAATTCTGAGCAAGAAAGTGACTATTATAGTTTAGATTCAGGAAGAAGCTGCCTAATCTGAATCTGTGGAACAGTCAGCAGGCCTCCTCCCAGTTCCTGGTGGTGCCAGTAGCATAAGTTAAAAAAGAGTTTACATGCAATGTCTGCAATGGGGAATTGCAGACAAAATTGAGCCCAAAATTTATGTTGCTAAGTGAGACATTTGTTAAGTGAGTTTTACAACCTTTCTTGCCGCAGTTAAGCGATTCACTGCAGTTGTTGAGATAGTAACATGGTTGTAAATTTATGACACTGCAACTGTCATAAATATGAACCGGTTGCCAAGCATCTAAATTTTGATCACATGACCATGGGGATGCTGCAATGGTTGTTAAGTGTGAAAATCAGTTATAAGTCACTTTTTGCAGTGCTGTTATTTGAATGGTCACTAAACAAATGGCTGTACCTGTAGAGGCTACCTGTAAATGTGGAAATTACTTCCTCATTTACATCAGCATGCCACTCAGAAAGGGGAAAGCAGCACCAAATGTGTTAGGATTGAACATTCAAAGATAACTCCTGGACATGACTCTTACATTCACACAATGTCTGTAATGAAGCCAAGTCCAGAGACAAAATGGCAGACATTCATTTAATAACTCCGCAAATAAGAATTAATTAGATATATGGATGAAATGGAAAATGTGTATAGAACACATACAATGCAGCTTGTAAATTTGAATGGACTACTCCAGAAAGTCATGATACAGCTGAACTGAGCCTCAGAACTACTGAATGTTTCAAGTTTCAGCTGAGGTAAATTCGCAAGGAGGGGGGACTTGCTGGACAAGTAGGTGTGCACCTAACCCTTTTCCTTCCCTTTCTCATATAGCCCAATCTTTTTGCATCTTCATTCTCCTTTCTGTAGATGCATACCAACACCACTGCCCTTTTTCCTTGGGTTAAGATCAGACACGCCTTTCAATTTGGACACCACCAACATAGACTGTTTTGCATATTTCTAGAATTAACTTTTGCATATATGTTTGGAAAGAAATTTATTCTGAGACTGTTGGCATTTCACAATATAAATAATGCTTTTTGTGATGAAGAACTGATGTGATCACAATAACTAATCTTCTAATCCAAAAAATATATTCACTTCTGCTTGTCCTAAAGTGACAATAGTTTCTGTACATTGCATAAAATGAAACAGTTCCAGTGTAGAATGTTGTAGATTCCAAAAATCAATCCAGGATACCTCTAAAACAGGCTGATAAAAATTCTTGCCTAAAAATCTGGAGAATTACTGTCACTCAATATCATCATCATCATCATCATCATTCTAGCCAAAGTCTATCCACTGCAGGATGAAGGCCTCTTCCGCATGTTTCCAACCAATATGGTCTTGAGCTTTCTCTTGCCAAATGGGCCCTCAATACTTGCTGATGTCATAGATCCATCTTGTTTTAGGACTCTTTTGTGGATGCTTTTTATGAAGTGGAATCCATTCTATGACTGTCTTAGTCCACCTGCTATCAGTTCCTCTTGTTATGTGACCAGCCCATTTCCATTTCAATTCTTTTACTGTTTTGATGATATTTATTTATTTATTTATTTATTTATTTTGATTTATATCCCGCCCTTCTCCCAATGGGACTCAGGGCGGCTCACAACATATTTAAAACAGAAACGTATTTACAATCCCCCCCCAAATAAAACCAAATTAAACCAATTATTTAGAGTTGTGCTGCTTAAAATTTTCTAAAAATAAACCCGATTTAAAATAAACCCGATTTAAAATCCTCCCTAGGCCAGGCCCGCTTGCTGGAAAAGCCATGTCTTGAGGGCGCGGCGGAAAGTAAGGAGATCCGGAATCATCCGGATCTCGGGGGGTAGTTCGTTCCAGAGGGCGGGGGCACCCACAGAGAAGGCCCTCCCCCTGGGGGTCGCCAGCCGACATTGC